CGCGCAGGGGCCTTCACTCCTCTGGCCTTTCCCTAACGAGCCTGCTCTTTTTGTTTGTTTGTTTTGCCTTAATAATATACTAGCTTCTCTTTGCATCATTTTGTGCCTTTTCCCACGTCAGTCGCCCTCCGCGTGGGCTTCCCGTCACGACATCACCCGTGTGCCATCACCACGGCCCAGTGCGTGTCCTTCCCGCACTGTTTTTGCGCCCACCCCCCAGCCGGCCCCCACAAAACGTCTCTGGGCTGTAGCTGTGCCCGGCGATGATTATTATCTCGCCGGGTCCGTCCTCGTCCTGCTGTGAGTGAGGCCATCCGGTGTTTGCCCTCTGCTGTCTGGCGAGGCGCCAGCTCTTCACACCTACCTGCTCTCTGTCTCGTGGACGCTCTGGCCTGGGCACGCGCCTCGGCCGCCGACAGGGGAGCTCTGGGCACGCCTTTCCCGGCGTGAGCCCCAGGGCCCGCACTCCAAGCCCGCTAACTCCAAACGCAAAGTCAGCTGCTGCACCCATTTACCACCCGAGGCTAACAGGCTGCTACTTCTCCCCAGGCACCGACCCTCGCCCTTTCTCGTCTTCGTCCTTAGACTCATGGTGACAGGTACGACGAGCTGCTCTCTCTTGGCCATGTGGGTGTCTTCCTTGGAGAGTTGTCTGTTCACGTCCTTTGTCTACTTGGCCAGTCACAACAATGGACGTCACGACTACCTGTCTTGACTTACACTAGCAGCCAGACCTCCACGTAGCTGTCTTATCTGCTCTCTCTCCTTCCCCTTATTTTATGTAGTGATTTTTAAAAAAGATTCATTTATTTATGCATGGGGCGGTGCCAGGGTCAAGCCTCAGCACTACGAAGCTCTCCGCAGCCACCGCAGCACTGGGTCTCAGTGAATCCGCCTGTTCTGCTCCACAGGGCCTCTGGGGCGTCCTCCGACCCCTGCACCCCCAGCTCCTGCCTGCATCAATAAAATCAATCTTTGCAATCCACAAAGGGGGTGCCTCCCGACACCCTCCCAGGCCTCCAGAAGCCAAGCCTGCAGCCCTCCCCTTGTCCCGAAGGCCCCTGCGGCTTGTTGCCACTGTGTGCGAGCTCCTGTTCCCACAAGCACACTTCTGTGCCATGTGGGGCCGCTGTGCAGACGCCAAGGGAATGAAGTTTCTTGTTCACTCGTGGCTGCGGGGAGAGCCAGCCGGGTCCCAGGTGCGAGCAGCAGTTGAGCTGGCTGGCAAGGACGCTGGCATTGGCTGTGGTGGTGACTGGGGCACCAGGGGTGGGGCAAGGATCCCACGTGGGCCGAGGTCGGGGGCTCCCCCTTTTTAGCTTGGCTGGAGGTGGGTCTGGAGGGCAGTGGCTGAGGAGCGCGGCTGGAGCCGTCGTGGCGATCTGTCAGGACCCTGTCACACTTGTACTGCGCTGCCCCCACCCCCATCTGAGTCCGGCTGGGCCCCTCTGTGCCCTTCCGGGCAGTGCCTTCCTGGGTATTGCACTGGTGCTGGGGGAGGGGCAGAGTTGCCTCTGGTGGGGTGCTTGTCGCGGTCCAGCGCTGGCCCTGGCATCTGGTGCTGCCCTGGGGCAGTGGACCCCAGCTCCGCCCTGTGCACCTCCCCTCCCTTCCGCCCACGGCC